TGATTACCTGCTTTGACCCCTGCTTACCTGCTCTGACCCCTGCTTACCTGCTCTGACCTGCCCGTAACCATCCTTCCCACCAAACTACCCACCCTGCCTCTCCAGCTCGTACTCCTGCTCCCTTTAAAATAGTCAATCGGAATTAGACTAGACTGTGCGGTCTAACCCTAGCCAATGGGGGAACGACACAGCAGTAGGGGAGACCTCCGTCAGGTAAAGTACCCCTTCCCCTTCTTGTCCAGGTGTGTACTTGCCGTTGTTCCATCCGAGAGCCACACCCACCCTTCTATAGAAGTCAATTGCCTTGCTGAGGAAATTTCTATTCAAGTGCTACTTCTTTTGCAGCATCAAAATTTTACTTATAACAAGTCCAACATCACCAACTTGCTGCCACATGGCCGGCCATTCTCTTTGAGGAGTGGGGCCATACTGAAGCCTTAGCTGAGCTCTCTGTTGGTGGTAAATAGGATGTTTGGTGGCAGCAGGAGCGAAATCAACCCTGGTGAGCAGAATTCCACGCTGTTGGGTCCATGCATAATCTCTGCCACCTTGGGCCCATCATGCCCATCCTGGGATAGTGGAAGATGAGGCTGACTAACATCCACTGGCCCAGTCATTCTGTCTACGTAGTTGCTTAATCTCTCTTCCACGGTGGATGTTGTTTGCTGAAAGATAACGTGACACGATGTTCACACTTCACGGACAGTCCATCCACATGCACCTTCCCAGACCTTCTTCTCTTTTACCTTCCAGTCTTTCTCCCCAAAGGTCCCTGACCAGCCCAGCCAGGTCATTCCCCACTGCCCATAAGTCTGTCTAGAATCCAACCTTGGGCCACTGCTCTGTCCACATGAAGTAGATACTCAGACCCACTGCCTGAGTGAGGCCGTGGTGCAACTGTCATCCATTTGTAGCTTACACCCACACGCTGACCCATCCAGAAGCTAAGGCTCTTACCTCATTCTGAAGCGATTCCTATGAGATTCCCCTGTATGGCCAAAGGCGTGGACTGAAGCAGGGGCACTGGTGAAACAGAGGTGGCAATGGCAAATGCACCAATGTGATATTCCGTGCATTGTCCAGACAGTCCCAGTCTTTTCAGACAGAGGGCAGAGATTTGACAGAATCCTGACCAAAACTGTAAATGAATATTGTCCGTCTCACATGAGTGCTGTTTCTCTTCCTCTTCTGATTGGGATAGAAAAGAATGCATTTGTTGCCTCCTTGGCGACATACCATGTACCTGAGGCCTTATCACACCACTTTAGCAAAGATCCCACACCTGCCATGGCAGCTACAATTGGGATTGCTTCTTGGTTGGGTTTATGGAAGTCAGTTGCCATCTTCCAGGACTTGGCTGCCGAATTAAATAGAGATACAAAGGCTACCATCACTGCATCCTTTGGCTCCTGACGGGTGGCACTAATTTTCACCATCCTCCCCAGGATGCAAGACTGTTTTTGACTTGCTTGTGTGGCTGGGGGAGGGGCAATAATTTTAGAAGCTTCCATTTGGCTTTCTCCACTATGATGGCTCCTACTCTATCGGCCACAGACCCAATGTGGGTGCTGGGCCAATGTCTAGGTATGTATATCCGAATTATACATTTGAGGACCAGGGAAATTACTCCTGATGGGTCCATAGACACAGTGGACCTTTGGCCAAGACTCCATTTATATTTTGTTTCTGTATGCATGGTTCCCCAATCTAGAGAAAGACTGTGATGACACTTCAAGTCCCAGATCTCAATTCCAGCTCTACCCCTTGAAATGTTTGCATCTTCCTCTTTCTCTACTGTATGGCCAGCCTCTCACTCAGTTCATCATTTGGGGAATAGCTGTGGAATCGTTACTGTACATAGTTGTACAGGGGACCTGGTCACCTCTCCAATTCTTGGGTTCCAGGCTCAGGAACTGAGAAAGGCATCATAATATTTTTTGGGGGTGACTGCATTCAGCCGCCTGACCATCCGTCTTTGATTTCTTTTGATGCTGTAAGGTGGATACCATCCTTGTAGTAGGCAGGCTTGACCTACTCTATGGGCACGCTGGAGCCAAAATGGCCCATCAGAGTTGTGAGTTGTCCTGCATTGAGCCAAAGTGGCCTGGCTTTCACACGCTGCCTCCATCAGTTATTAGACGTAGGCTGCCCTGGGGAGGGTGTGCAGGCTCTGAAGGAGGCCACAGCAGAAGGGAGGATTTCTAGCAGTTGAGAAAAGTCCTTTCTTGAAGCGGACCTAGGTGGCACATGCAGACTCTTTGGAGATGCCATCACAGATAATGAGGGAGTTTCCTGAGGACGTGAAAAAACAGGGTCAGAGCACAGGTGGATGGATTGAGCTTCAGTGCAAGGAGGGGCCTCTCTCACTGTCACAGAGCGAGCAGAAGGTAAGATAGGGTCCAGTGAGGAGGAGGGTTTTAGGAGAGGGACAAGGAGTTGGGAAAATCTGGCCCGATCACCTCTGTTTTCTTTTCCTCTTTTCCTTCCTTCCTTCCTTCCTTCCTTCCTTCCTTCCTTCCTCTTCTTTCTTTTGACTTTTCCTTTTGTTGGGAAAATCTGACCTGATCACCTTTCTTCTTTCTTCCTCTCCTCTCCTCTCTCTTTCCTTTTCTTTGCCTTTCTTCTCCTTTCTTTTCTTTTCCCCTGGACTTTTGCTCTTGTGGCCCAGGCTGGAGTGCACTGGCACAATCCAGCTCACTGCAAACTCCGCCTCCTGGGTTCAAGCAATTCTCCTGCCTCAGCATCCTGAGTAGCTGGGATTACAGGTGTGGACCACCATGCCTGGCTAATTTTTGTATTTTTAGTAGAGATAGGGCTTTTCTGTGTTGGCCAGGTTGGTCTTGAACTCCTGATCTCAGGTGATCCTCCCTTCTTGGCCTTCCAAAATGCTGGGATTACAAGCATGAGTCGCCAGGCCCAATCTATTTTCTTCATAACATCGGAAGCAAGGGTGTCTGCTGAACCTGGACTTGGGTCAGCTCAGGGCTTGGGGAGCATAGTCAAGGGGAGTGAGAGAGGACGCTGTCTAGGGACTGCAGCTCAGGGTTCCAGGCCGCTGATGTTGGGCATGACTGGCTGTGACCCCCTGCCTGTGTGTTCCCCCAGCAGTGACAGAGCGCAGCTGGAGACAGAGAGGAGCACTGACGTTTTGATACATAGATAACCAGCGAAACTATCCTTACAATCCAGATTTAGAAATTTGCCATGCCAGCCAGGCCTTGAACTCTCCACCGGTAGGTAACTTTGTTTGCTTAAACTTTGGGTCTTCCTACCTGATGAAGGGGCATCTATTTTGGTTCCTCAGATCACAATGTAAAGGGATAAACAGCCGTGATATAGTCATACAATGGGGCACTGCTTAGCAAGCTACTGACACACACACAGATGAACCCAGGATAATTATGATGAAGGACAGAAGCCAGACAAAAAACAGTACATACGGTGATTCCGCTGATATAAAACTCAGGAAAACGCAAACTCATCTGTGCAGCAGGAAACAACTCAGTGGTTAGGGCAGGAGTGATTACTGAGGAGCAAGAGGGGTACTGGACGCATTCACTCTGTGGACTGTGATGGCTTCACTGGGTATACGTGTGTCAAGACTCCAATTTGCACACTTTAAATACATGCAGTTATTGCATGTTAATCACATTTTAATAAAGCTGTTTAAATATTGACCTGGAAGCAAACTGTATTATTGAATCATCGAAAATTAGCAAATAGAACAAAACGATGGAAAATGCCCTCTTAAATTTCAAGTCAACTTAGATCTATTAGAGATTTAAAAAACAGATCTTTTATGGGGTTCCAAGTTAAATCCTAAAGTCAGGTGTAACAGAATCTGACAAAATGGGCTTTTTTCTTTTCCCACCTTCTCAACCCATTGAAGCCTTCCTTATTTCAACTCTGTAATGTCCCAAAGAGTTTAAATTAAGGGGTCTTTCCATGGGTATGACAATGGGATGATTCATGGTGCTTCCCATGAAACTCTATTGCGATCCTTTCTACTTCTCTGAAAAGTACCTGGTTTTTTTTTTTTTTTTT